CTACAAAAAAAGGGGGGGGGGGGGGGGTGTCAATTATCAACATATTTAAAGCATTTTACACCTAAATAACTAAGGGGACTGTAACTGGTGTTTAATTAAAATGCAGAATTTTGCTTGACTTTATGTGATGTTGAGTCTTGTACAAAAACAAATATTTTTTTTCGAAGAAACTGCTTGAAGGGAGAAGCTACAGCGAGTCACTGCCACAAGAGCATTAATCGGTAAATGTATGTCTATTTACGTTAACATAGTATATTGTATTTATTTATTATAAATACCGTATCAAATGTAGCTAAATCGTGCTTTTAGAATCTGGGAAAATATCAAGTTTAAACCTCGCTTCAAGTTTGTGTGACGCGCTGCGAGCCACGCGATTCCCAAGAAGCTCTCATCGAGAGGCCACGTGTCCGTTTCCAAAGCCTCTCCAACTTAACCACCTCCATTGTACGTCTAACCCAGATCGGCAGCGTCCCTCCACATAAAGGGATTTGCAATTTCAAGATATTCCAGCTTAAATGTTTTTGACAGCTCCCTCGCTTTTGCCTCAGCCTGCTTATTTTAACTGTGCCAAATGGGTCACCTTGGGTAGCTGTCTGCGCGCAAAGGGCTTTTGCGCGCATTCAGTCCGAATTTTTTCCAACTTTCCTTGACAGGGAAACCAGCTGCTGGTCGTGAAAAGACGGCTTATTAATTGTCCTTTGTCATGCAGAATTGCTTGATTTCTAAAGAAACATACAAAGGCTCTTTTTCAGGATTCAAGTATTTTGTTTCGTGCGCATTTTCAACTCATCGAATCAGCTGCAGCGCCTCACCGTCTACCAGACTCAGGTACTGACGGCCTGCCTCTTTTGTCCGCTTTTAATGCTCTTGTAATTCAGGCAGACTGATTTGTTACAAGCTGCTCTTTTAATCTGATAGATAAGAGACAAGTCTAAGAAAAGCCGTAAATGAAAAATTAGTTGGAAGAAAGACAAGGGCGAGTCTGCTAGATGGGGGTCTGTTGACTCAAGCGGCCCTCGAGCGTCAGGCGAGCCCTCTGAGCAGCCCCTGTCAGGGTCACGTCAACAATTCGCTTTTCTTCCCCTAAAAAGACACTGTAGCCCTTTTTGCTTCAATAAATTAATCGGCGCAAAACTGAGAATAAATAAATGGAGAGAGAATGAATAAATTTTGAGCACCGCTTAAAACTCCCCCAGGGCGCGTAGCTACCCCCGGGCTATTGAATGGATAAAGAGCGCTTCGCAGAGGACGCACGGTGCAAAATGAGACTGTATGGTGTAATTAACAAAATGGCCTAATCCTATATCTTCACAGATGCAAATATTAGAGTTTTGTTAAAATGTTTAAGTGAACAATCAAGCGCGCATTTCCAAGAGCACTGCGCTATTCCGAGGACACAATGACTGGAATAATTTAGTAAATGCGCTGATCTTACCAGGTGCTTTGTTGACACCGATGGCCGATGATGGATTCCCAGCGAAGGAAACAACATTTAAACCCAATTTCAACGATTAATAGATCAACGGATAATAGGACGCATCGAAACCTGCATTCCAGAAGCGCGTTGCTAAAAACTCAATCTGAGCTCCAGTTCTGCTGCGCGTGAAAGTGAAATGCTGGAATGCCGTTTTCACGTAAATAAAATAACGTGTATTTTTTCTTCTTCCACGAACCACACGCATGTTTCTCTCAAATTACGAAAGGCATCCGTTTCTACAGTCGACTCGAATGATAATTCATTTTGGAGACCTTGAGCAAAAAAAAAGTTATATTGTATGAACTAATTAATTATTTAGTAAATTGTCAGTTCATACCACAGACACACATGTTCTTTTTTTTCCTCCTTAAATAGGCTACACATAATAAAATAATCGTTTTTCTTATACAGCTCCGATCACAAACGCAGCGTGCAAACACAGTAATCGCCATCATCACCAAGTGTCCGCCTAGACCCCTTTAAATAAATTTAAATATAAACATCGATTAATCTGTCTCGTTGACTCGCATATTGTATTCATTTGCGTATTATTGTCTGTGTATTAATACACTACTTTGGGTTTTATTAACCCGCTCTCACGAGACTGTTAAGAACCGTGCGCTAAATGGCTCAGTGTTTAACGGAGAGGCCCCGCGCCTGGGGGCGCTTTCAGCTGCGTCCCCAGGGAATGCCACAGGGAACCCGATGAATACGCGTCTCCTTGGACTTCTTGACGGAGATCTATCCCGAGGCACTCGAGTGGTGAATAGAGGAGCGCGGAGATTCTGTGATTTAGATACGCGTATAAGCGCACCCTCGAACTCTAGGTTGGAATTTCGTATAAACGTTATATCTCTCTCTTTTATCAGTTGTTATTTTACTTAGACATTCTAGTCATCTTTTACAGACGGTCACAGACACTCCTGTTTCATCCCGTTAAAGACCTTATAAATGCTTATTAAAACGAGTCGGCGCGCGCTCAACACGCGCTGGTCAGCTTTAAATTACGCATTAAGGTTTACTTCCCATGGCAAGGACTTTATGTAAAGATACTTGATGTGAAAATGCTAAATATTAAACCTTTTATTGGACACGTTTTATGGATGCTTTCCCCCGAATTATTAATGTTAAGCAATGCGATCCCATCGTATTTATAAAGTGTCTCATAATCTTGCAGTCATGATATGCTGCTCTATTCTGATATATTTTATTTATTTGTTTTTGAGTATATGTGTTTTGATTTTTTTGAGGGAAATAATTGCATTCAAAATTGCACGAAGATGGTCAGAATGTTCATCCTCTAC